ATACACATATAAACACATACACACATACACACACACACACATTTTTGTACGTGTGTATGTATATGTATGAATATGTATATGTATGTATATGTATGTATGTATGCACATGTCTGTATGTGTGGAAGTATTTATATATATATATATATATATATGTTATATTTCCAAGAAAAAATAAATGCCTCTATAAGCAGTAAGAATGCTTATACAGGCAGTTCCCGACAAGAATACGAAACTCTGGACGTCACGAACGGAAACTCTGTTCAATGAACACAAAACACTTAGTATAGACCGCAACTGTAATAGTTCATTATGTCTAGCAAAGCGTGGATGATAAGTCCTAAACAGATCTGAGGAAAGTCACTCAGATATACTGACATTGGATACTATTTGATGTGACAGTGAGCACGTAGTCATCGTACGAACTGTGGTAAAGCAAGGTCTGTAATAGCAACCAACAAAAGATCTACTATAGATGCATCTCTCAAACACCATATTATAAGCACACACATTGGAAAAACTGTAGTACCTGATCCTTCGAGCCCTTCTTAGGCCCAGGCCTGCTGCTATTCATCATTTTCTTGCTCGCATTCTGACCCATGTTGCACAGAGAGATAATATCCTCTTTAACTTCTACTTTTAACTATTTAAGATTACTTGACTTATCAACCAAGGCGTGCGGTGGCGCTGACGGGTGTGGGATAGAATATGACAAAAATAAATCTCCAGGTCTTGTAATTCTGTTGGGAATGAGCACTATTGGTTTGGACTGAATTGCTATCTTTGCCTTCGAATTGAACTGTCTAATTGAACTGGTGGAGCAAGTGTCAATAAGGGGTACACGTTACAAGGTGTGTCTAGGCACTCAGATAGTACGGAGCAAGGACTGAGCTAATACAATATACAAAACACATAAATATATAAACTTGACAGTAGAAATAGCAGCTCAGTCAAGTATGCGACTATGACGCGTGAGACGATCTGAGCGAAGAGTTTTAATCAAGCAATCACTGTTTCGTGCGAGAGGTTTCCAGGTGTCCCGACTGTACTTATGGTAAATATTTTAGAAGAAAATGTACGGGAAATAATTATGTGCGGAAATTAGGAAGCGTGAGGTTTTTCACCAGCCAGAGCCGGCTGTGAAGCATTTTTTAACTCTACTTTCCCTGACCCTCCCTATTTTGGGTTAAAAATAAATGGTTTGTTTTTTCATTTTATAAAAACTGTTCGTTTTTTCCAAAAAAAGAGAACCAAAAAGCCCTAAAATACATAGGAACAATTTTCTGGCGAAAAATATATTCTTAAAAGAAACATAAAACAGTAAATGGCACGGGATTGGAACTTTCATACAGTGGGAACTTGGGCGGGACCTCTGACTAGTGGATGGGAGGACACAAAGAGGTCCAATATTTAAAATAATAAAATAAAGGGAGTCGGGGAATAATGAATATAAATATTTACATAAATATAATATTTATGACTTTATGACTCTATGCCAAAGGAAATCTGAAATCAACTAGAATTATTTATGTACTTCATAAATATTTACGTAGGAGCTCGACTGCTGACACCGGAGTAATGCAGTCAACAGAGGCGAATACCGAGTAGCGACTGGCGACTGGCGACTGGCGACTGGAGACTGGTGACTGTGGCGAATGGCGAGTTACTGTGGTGGCTGGGCCTGGGGCCTGGGCCCATGGCCTGGGGACTGGGGCCTGGGGTGGGTGTGTCAGAGTGTGTGACAGTTCACTGTTGGCCCTATTTTATGTTAAAAAAAAACCAAAACATATTGAGAGTTTCTGATGTCCTGATTTAGGAATTAGGAGGCTATTTTTCTGAATCTATTTTTTCCGTTGACAAGTATATAACGTTTATGCTATACTTATTTTTAAGTAGTACTACATGCTGCAGCAAAATTGGGATTTCAGGTGGATAAATATTCACATTTCTCGAGGAGCAGTTTATTATAGTATATTATTTTGTACATTTATATATAAAAAACCCCTATTTGTTTTGTTTTTTTTAGAATAGTCGATATATTTTGCGTTTACATATGTATTATTAGGTGTCCTCGGACAATAGTCCGATCAGGCATATTATTTTACTTCTCTGAGTAGTGAGAGGGTCATGATTTAAAAAAAAAGTGCTTAGGTTGGTTAAATGTCCTTTTAGCCTATTAGGTCTTAAACGTGGGTTATCTTTTATTAAAAAAATGTAAATAGACTTGACTATTTTAGAATACAATAGTGTAGTGAAGAGTCTAGTAGAGCAAGAGTAGAGGAGACATTTAAAAAAATTATACTGCCTGTGGCTAACCTCAACACGTTGAACGTTGGAACGCATATGTATCAATAAGTACACGTTATACGTTCAGCGTTTATAGTCTATAGTGGGCCCAGAAATTTGCTTTCTGTCCCATGGAGTCATCTGTCAATTGTCAATTGTCATGGCAGTCGTCAGTTGGTAAATATGAACTTCACTTTCTAATTTCTAATTGGTTGGTTTAGTGTTTCGCGGCCAAAAACGAAATTCAAGGTTTTTCAGGCCATAATACATGCATAGTACGTTGCAACGCTTAAAAATCATTCCGTAAACGTAAAACTTTCAACGGTTATTCCCAAATCGTCTAACTTATTGAGGTTAGGCCTGTGGGTTACCCTGGACTACTGGACTCTTGTTCCATGCTGGAGCTGAATTTTTTTTTTGGGGGGGGAGGGGGGGGCGCGGTTTTAAAAAATATAGTACATACTTTTTATATTAATAATACGGACCTTATTTATTTACATTTTACAGTCGGACCTCTCTATAGTTTATATGCAACTCATTAAGATGTCTACTCTTTATATGTCCAGTGTTTATTTGGGCCGACCCACATGTGAGTCAGGCCCTTTTGGGGGCCGGTCCATCAGCTTGCCCCTCCTCAGGTCTCAACGCTCATCACGGAGACTCCTCTTGGAGATATATTAGGCTCGGCACTTCTGAAGTCCAAGCCCGTTCGTTTATTTTATTGATATGTACTGTGTGTGTGAACTATTCACAACATTTTTAGCTTAGCTTGTTGTAACACGTAAGTACATACACTACTATTTACTTATTTCTGATGCTAGACATTTCTAGTGGTGATCGTTGTTTTGTGAAAGAATGTACGGTCACGCAACCAACGTCAGGTGCACACAAGTGTGCTGGTTGACCGCAATATGCATGCAATTTGTGGCGTGCACATTGGCGAAGGGTATGGCTCAATGGGTTGCTGCTTGTCTACAGATAAATGTCAGGCACCAGATTATCGCGGTGACTCTTTGTTCTACAATGTCGCACCGACTAAGCCAGACAATTCAACACAAACCGCATCTGTAGCGATCGAGCCAGACAAAACAACACAGACAACTGATAAACAGAGTGCCTTTGGTAGCTCCGTATCTGTCCTACAAGTCAGTTCCCGAACCTGGTAGGGTGAACCTGACCCAGCTGTGTCTACCTCTTTATATGTCCAAGTGCTTTATAAAAACGGGAACTGGACAAATATAGGTACGAGTGTACCTGCAAGAAAGAAAATAAAATACCCCTGTAATTGCTATCAACCACAATGCATCTAATTTGTTTTTTTGTAAAACAATATGTAAATGGTTGGGGCCTGGGCCCTGGGCCTGGGGTCGCCTCTGAGTCTGGGGCTACCTCTGGGGACTTGATGAGGAGCGTGAGATAAAAATTAAAATTTGAAGGCCTACAGAAGATATACTTTTGTGACGAAGAGAATAACATTAAACGAATATATACGTTTTCATTGGCTAAAACGTGAATCAAAGAGTAGCCCATGAAATGTTTTAACGCCAGTTTGATTTGGCTTTTTATTTTTGAAAAAGTAAAACAACATCATTTGTTGTGTCAGAAATTCAAGGCTCAAGGGCTCAGGGGCTCAGGGGCTCAGGGGCTCAGGGGCTCAGGGGCTCAGGGGCTCAGGGGCTCAGGGGCTCAGGGGCTCAGGGGCTCAGGGGCTCAGGGGCTCAGGCGGAGGCCTCAGCCCAGGCTCAGCGGCTCAGCCGCTCAAGCAATTCGCGGCTTCCTCTCTCTTTTCATTTTGGCCGCTACGGTTCACAGAAAATTAAAATAAAAAAGTCACAATCTTATAAATTTACTTATCTACTCTAATTTGTTCATAACTCCGACTGACATATTTATAAAATCTTTTCGAATTGTCCCAAAAGCCAAAACTAAAAATATATGATTGGGAGCTGTCAGGGACTCAGGCGACAAGCCGTCAACTGTCAACTGACAAGGGCAAAGGCACAAAGGCGACGAAGCTGTTTTGTAAAAATGATTTATTTGAAGAAATAAATGCTGAGCCTACCAAGTGCAAGTAAGTATATATCCCCTATCAATTGGACGAGCGTAAATACCTGTCTACCAATAAAAACGGGACATTGTTCTGACTTATGAGCCTCTGAAGTCTGAAGTACGAAGTACTGAAGTCTGAAGTCGAGGTGTCGAGCCTTTCTTCTGAGACTGACGGTCTATCCCTCTGATGACGAGTCCGAGGCCCAGAGCCCAGATTCTTGTGAGTTGAGAGTGAATTTAGTAGCGTTGAAGTAACTTCTGCTGAGTCTGACGGTCTGACCCTCTGATGACGAGCCAGAGGCCCAAAGCCCAGAGTCTGAAGTCTCTTGTGAGTTGTGAGTGTATTTATATAGCTGGTTGACGCATATTTATTTACATATATTATTTACATACTCCACAATCCACAAATTTTGTTGTTTTTTGTTTTTGCTTTTTTTAGAAATATAATATATATCCCTTACATGTAATTTCAACCTTGTCTACCTCCGAATTAAAACAATGTTGGTTGTAAGTACCGAACTGTTCGGTAGTGTTCCTGGGCGTAAATAAGAGTGCGAGAACTTCTAAGTGTGGGCGAAAACTTATGTGTGAAAACTAATAAGTTTGAAAAGTTGTATTGTGTGGTTTGTTGGCGAACGGCCGTGCAGGTTGGTGTATGATTGGTGCTTTGCGAACCGAAGTGCGGGGTAATATGAGCTGGAGGTTGGCAGATGACGATATATGTTGAATGTACTTGCAGGCTCAAAATTGAGAAGATACACTATTAGATTGGCGGCAGGATTCTCAAGGAAATCCTTCAGAAATAGTATAAATATGTGATTTAGTTCACTCAAGAAGTTCATTCTGCTAAGGTAGACGTTTATTCAACAATCGAAGAAATAGAACTAAATTCACCGTTACATTGTGTTTTGAGTCGATTTAAGATTACAAATGAATGTTAGTGGAAAATGGTTTACGAGAAAGATAATGTAGCTGGGACTGGGCAACCTCTCTGGAGATATGTGAGAGAGGAGCCGATGACGACATTTATGGATCTACGGGATTACGTCAGGGGTACCAAGGCTTATGAGCTCGAGGTGAAGAAAGGTGGGTCCCGCCCAGCGATGGCTCTTTTGAACGAGGTTACACATTAGACGAAGTCGGAACTAGAGGGCTATATAAGCAAGACTGTTATTGAGACGAAAGATCTGTATATCGCGGCTGCAACATTGTATCTAGTGTTTAAGGACCCATTGAAGTGAGTGGAACCCAGGTGTATTTTGCGAAGGCAATAGGAGGGTGGGGATCCAAGCCTGAAAAGGTTATTTAACATCTTCGTGAGATTTATTACTATGATGATGTTCAAAACATTTATCCTATCTACGGCTACATATGGGCTGAACACTATTGCCTGGGCTCTACATATATGGAAGGATGCGTTGGACCCGCTATTCTAGCGCTTTAACTCAGCACTCATCCAAGAAGCAGCTATCATCTCGGGCACTAAATACCCTTGGATTCCCAAACATCTAACAAACTTACTTCACTTTTGCGGCAAAACCTCGGAGGTTGCCTTGGAATACAACTCAAACCATTACTGCGCTTCCCGTACAGTATCTATGCTCACCTGAAAACTGTACATAATACCACGGGCGGGAGTACACCCGACCATGTAGCCCTTCGCCAACGCTGTGACGACATCAGAAAGAACTCAACAAAACGCTAATCCAACAAGGAGATCGCGGCAATCGCCCGGCGCCAATACTACTACCAACTGGTTATGGGTAAACCGCTAACCTCAAACCGAGACACAGCCAGAAACGACAGCCTCAATCGCTGCTTCGAGTCTACATCAATCCGGCACTGTGCTATGATTGTATCGAATACGTACATGTTCATATTTCCCGACTACCGCACCAACGGCTGTGTCTGCCCTGTCTGCCCCGACAGGCACAAGCTCACTACCAGCCACTTTGCCGCCCATTGACCCTGACTTCCTTCAGTAATTATAGGAGTGCCACGAATTCCACGGTATCTGGACCCTCCACGATCACCTTGGATCTTTTCTCCAGCATGTTGAAGAACCACCGTACCCTCATCCGTCCATGACACATCAACATATGCTCCCTATACCCCGGCTAATCAAGCTGTTGAAGT